TTATAAAATAGCTTATATTGATCAATCAAAATATATTTATTTTGTAGCATAAAACATGGCCACCCACATAACTGCCTTGTTTAAATATTATTTTAAAGATGTTAAATAATACTTGACATTTTAAGCTATAAGATATATTGGTGAATCAAATGTGCATGTGATTATAATTGGTCAAGGGAGTGTTTGAACATAAATAGATATGTCTTCTTTTTAGACTTTAAAAGAAAAGAGCATCTCAGAAAAACCACAAATATGTGTTACTCAATTTTTGTATACTTAAAAGGTGATTTAACGTACATGAGATTTAAATATATTTATCTTTTTTAGAGCAGAAAAATGGTAGCATCAGTAGTTTGAATGGCATATAGAAAACTTTCAAGGAAACACTATTTAAGCTTTCCAACGGTTACCTCTCATAAGGTAATTTTGTTATTTGGTAAATAGAATAAGATTTAGCTGGGAAATATATTAAAACACCCTTTGGGGAAATGCAGTTGATTTAATGAAGAATCAGTCACTGCAGATATCCCCCTCGTTACACAGAGACTGGGTCATCATCGAGCACTTTAAAAATTCACCCCATGGGATTTAAATCTGTTCTAAGCTGCTAGCCCTGCCCCCTTGCGCGCCCCATGATGCCTGCCCGTGACCTTATATAACCCAAAGGAGCAGCTCTCCCTCGGGCTGCCATTGACAGCAAGTAAATATTCAAGACCACAGAGCTATTCTCGTGAGAGGATTAATCTCACCACTTCCTAGCTAAAAGGGAAATTCTCTTAGCTAAGTCACTACCAGACATTCGGTCTCCGTTAGCCAAACAGTATCCGGCTGTAACTCTAGCACTACTCTGCCCCTTTCCCAGTTTGCCGCAATCCACCCCCATACCCTTCAGTGAGGCCCGGAACTCTAGGCCATTGCTAATGCCAGGCCACTGTTCCCTCATCCCCAGGCAAGACCCTCCCCTCTCCAAGCAAAAGACTTTGATCCTCCGTGCTCACATCCTGACCTCCAGGTCCCTGGTCACCGCACAGGGACCACCACACTCAGCTCTGTCCTCGCCTCCCCAAGGGTTCCCTGCTGCCTTCACAATCTATCCTCCGCATAAGACTCAGAAGGAGTACACCTAGTGCTATGAATTAGTGTCACTCCCGTGCTTCATAACTCCAGTAGCTTGCCCTGTACTTCCAATATCCGAACTACTTTCCATGTGTCACTGAGTCCAGTGCAACCTGGCCTTTGCCTCCCTCTTCCACGGTATCTCGAGCCCTCTTACTCTTTACATTTCAGCCGCCAGTTGGGTTTCAGAATTTAAAATTTTTTGGACATTAGAAACTATTATGAATGTATCTAAGTAGAGTGTGAATCAGCAAGTACATTAATATTTGTGCACATAGGAACAAGGCTATTCACACTAAGCAGGAAATAAAGGCTATAATAAATAGTCTGTCAACTCAAAGCTTTCTGATATCTCAGCATATTGGATTTTGGCCTTGCAGATAAGGGACTGTGGACCTAAAACTATGAATGGCCAAATTACTTAGGCCAATTGCAATTCACAGAAAACATTTCCTTTGAAAGCTGGTATTAAACTTCACACATTATCCCGCAATAATAGTATTCCATTGGCAAGTATTCTAACCCTTCACCCCTCCAGCACTTGGCTGCCAATGATATATATTCAGAATACAGCGGAAATCTAATGAACAAAATAAATTGACCAACAAAATAGGTCCTGAGGCATGGAAGCATGGAACAGACTAACATATCTCAGGGGGGAGAAGGGAGTTGGAAAGAGATTAACCAAAGAACTTATATACTTATATGCGTAGTCCATGGACAGACAATAATGTGGTGAAGGCCTGGGGTGGGGTAGGGGCTTGGTGGAGTGGGGCAAAGGAGGGGAAATAGTGTGTGTGTGTATATATATATATATATATATATATACACACACACACACACACACATATATATATGTATTTTTTTTAAAAAAAAAAAAAAAAACATCAATCAACACCAATCAAAAGAATAAAAAAAGAATACAGCTGGTAAGAGGTGAGCCATGGTACAAAACCTCTCAGCAGCCATTACAGTGGCCACATACTGGATAGTGTTATATCATTCATAACAGAGGCACTGTATCTTTAATCGGATCTGGCTTCTAAACTCAACAAGATAAGAACTGGTAAGTGGAATCATGGGCAGATCCAAGAGGCGAGAACACAAAGCCGTTACCAGTGACAGCTGACATTCTGACAGCAAAGAAGAAAAGTAAAACTCTTTGTAAAGAAGCTCAGAGCCTCGCTGCATAGACGAAAGGCTTGGATTCCAATTCCAGCTCTGCCCACGTGAGTTGGGTGATTTTAGGCATTCCCTGACTTCTCTCTGCTCAGTTTATTCATGGACATAGAGTGGAGGAAAATGATGGCGGTCACCTATGGTTGTTGTGAGGATTTAATGAAATAATGCATGTGTAGAGCTTAGCACAGTGCCTGACAATGAGAAGATACTCAATAAAACTTATGCACTAAAAATAAAGCACAAAATATCACAACACATAACAGCCTGAATAAGTTTACTACCAACTCTTCAGAACTTGGAACATGATCATAATTTAGTATAGAAAAATATCATCGTAGCTATGCTATGGGACTTTAAACATGGCACGGAAACTTCTCTGAGCCTCATGGCATCTGATTAGACCACGCTTTCTCCACGGAGGCAATGAGTGATTCTGCTGCAGGGCAAGGCGGAGGGGGAGTGGGGAAAATGGACTCTTTATGTATAAAGCACAACCATAAAGTACAGCAACAGACACATAGTGTACCCATGGTATTAAAACTTCACAAGGGCAGGTATCTGAAAAGGCTTCTTAGGGGGTTAATAATATAAAAAGAAAGGTTTGAGAAATACCAATTTAAATTCATCATACGGTTTCGTACAGCTCTTAACGTCCCTTAAATCTATCTTCACAACAGTAATGCCAAGAATTCAAAAAATGTTTACTGTAAGTTCACACACTTTGTTTAAGAAGGCAGGGAAAGAGTTGTATATTTTAGAAAGATCTCCAATCAAAACAGGTAAAAATTGTAAATGTCATTGGTTAAAACAGAAAATCTTCTCAATACATAGAGACCCCAGCTGGCCCTTGTGAAGGGACTCTGTGAAACACAGTTCTGTTGAATTTTCCCTGCTTTCGAGATAAGAGTTTACCAAAACCATGTCTAGATGTTAGTATATTTAATTCTTTCCCCCAAAAATGGAGAAAGAAAGTAGCATAAGGACAACTATTTGTAACCACCATAAAACTGGAACAGTGTGCTGTCTTAGCTATGATAAATGAAAGATCACCTTGCAATATAATTCATTTTTAATTGCCTCTTCCATCTAATCTAACTACTGCTGTAGTCTGTCATAAAATATTTACAAAGAAAAACCAAAAAAAGAATCGGGAGTGCTAAATAAAGCAGGGCACACATTTCTACATGATCAATTTTTCGGGGTATTGTTTACAACAAAAACAAAGTCATAACTTATACATGAATTTTTGAAAATGGATAAAGTATGATAAAAGACCAGCTCTCTGTGTTAAAGCTGTGTGTGTTTTTTAAACTCAGACATAATTGATATACAACCTTGTATTAGTTTTAGGTATACAATATAGTCATTTGATATATGCATATATTGCAAAATAATTAGCATAGTAAATCTAGCTAACACCCATCACCACAGTTACAGTTTTTTTCTTGTGATAAGAACTTTTAAGATCTACCCTCTCGGCAACTTTCAAATATACAATACAGCATTGTTAACTATAGTCACCATGACGCACATTACATTCATTTTATAACTGTAAGTTTGTACCTTAAATCTGTTTTTAATTCACCTTATTCCCTACCTTAGTTTTGGGATCCTTACTATACCCAAATAACTTGTATAAAATGCTAGGAAGATCAGTATTATAGCTATGTTCTGCTTTAACCGCGTAAGAAGTTTTGTATTTGCTCTCCAGTCTTATTTCCTCCAGAACCCTAGGTTTTTTCATGCTCATGGACTGCCCTCATAATTCTCTCTGAGTTTTCCAAAACTCCACTTTAGAAATTCTAACTGAAGATAGCATTCTAAAAACGGATAAAACGCCTCCATGTCAAACTGTTATTAAATGCTTGGCCATACTTTATTACTCGTAATGTATATCAAAGAGTGGTCTAATATTACCCATTTCATTCACTGAAAAATAAATGTGTTCTGATATCCTTGATAGCTTTTAGGCAGTGCATTTTCATACGTAAAGATGTGTGTGAAACCAAATTCCCTTAGATGCAGGCACTCCCTGTACTATGCAGGAGGCGAACACGTTTTTTACTGATGGTGAATATAAATATGCCATCTTAAAAAGATGCTAACCGCTGTTTATAGGTCCTCAAATCCTACGTGTTTAAGTGACAGAAAAATCTCTCTTATAAACTCATATGTTATTTTAGACTGTTCCAAAGATACTGACTGGACAGAGTAATGGAAAGAAAAAAATAAATTAGTTAAGCCCTAAATACACACAGCATATTTCAGGAGCCCAGCGTTGGATCCACGTGTTCTCAGCCTCGACTGAGGAAGATCCGGCCACACAGCACACATTTTACTTACCATCAGGGGTGATATCACCCCAGTGCAGCTGTGAATACCTAAGTGTCCCTAACCGTCACCGTGCTACAAGATTTACTCTAGGCAACACCAAGACGGTAAAAAAAATCAGAGCACATCAATGATCACTGGCAAGGTTTAGACTTATTTTAAAAAAAAACTCCATTGAAGAAATTCAAGTAGATATTGTATAAACATATATTCTGTATAAGTATTAATACTTGGTAGAGTGTAAAAAAGTTTGTAAATCGTAATAAAACGTACTTCCAGTAGTTGCATATCGCGGCATGTATCCATGAGAAAGTCAAAGCAACCGAATTCTCAACTTGACACCCATTCGCCGGCAGGGCCCCAGCACTCACCTTTGTCTGAGGCTGGCCCAGGACGCTTTCAGGTACTCGGTGGTCTCCTTGACGTTCCTTGTGTCGTCGCTGCCATAGTCCTCCAGGAGCTTCTGCAGCACACTGTCGAACGCCATCACGGCGCCATCGCCAGGCCCCAGCTCCTGAAGCAGCGTCTGCGGTGAGATTTCAGGCGTAAGTGTTAGACTTGGTTTTAACATCTTTTAGACACAGATGTCAAAAGAAAACAAACTATTAGACAAACTCTTGCATGGAAGCTTAAACCAAAATAATCATAGATGCGAAAATAAAAATGTCTGAGAAATGGATCAGGTACATAGCAGTTAAACAAATGATTATCCTTTCCTCTCTTAGATATTTTATTTCCTGCAAACATTTGTCTTTTTTCATTCCTTCTGCTGTACGTCTGATCCTAATAGGAACGTGCATTGTACAGGAATGAGTTTACTATAGAGTTCCCCATATACGCTGAGAGAAAGGGAAGGGCCAACAATACAGAAGTATTCTGTCTCTTGCCCCTGGATCCCTGGGCATGTTACAGGAACCGCTTGAGTGGATCAAGCCCTAAGCAGGGTTCACCAGGAGTTGCCTGAATAGCTAAACTGAGGCTGAGTATGTCCCCTGGCATCGGTTCCTTGACACACTTTTTCAGTCTCTGAGAGACCCTGGATCAAGACACTCCCCATGAAATCTAACGGACAAATGGAAGTTCCTATAGTGTTTTTTAGTAGCAATTGGGAGGAAAATCCACCCTAAAACTTCAGAAGAAAATGAGCATACTTCTGATTAGAAAAGAATATTCTGAGTACGATGACCGATACCACTTTGAACTGTATTCCTTTAGTGAAGTGGCAGGGTCTTTGCCGATGTTACTTTTGATTCACCTGGTGAAAACAATCAGCAGATGTCATAAACACAGAGAGCGACCCAGGAAATCAGGAGGCCCGGCCGCTTGCTTTCTACACGGTAATCACGGAAAGTCCGTATGTGCGCAGAATGAAAACATACTTTCATGTTTTAGATTCTGACTCCCACATATTCATTATTATATTTTGCACAAATGTACACTTTCACCTTAGGCTATCTGAAGGGCAAGTAAATGTTACACTAAAATATAACCTGACAACCATAACCTCCAATTCAAGAACATTTTCCACGATCGCAGTGAGACTTTAGAATAACACCATACATGTTCAATATCATCAGCTCTGCAGCCTAACTGATCACAGAAGGTATCTGCTCTGATGACATTGATAAATCAGTTTGGTTATGGAGGTATTAAAAGAAAAGAAACTTACTTATTTTCTGATTTATTCTACTATAGTAGCCCTCAAATGAAAGTCTCAAGAAATTCCATAAACAGAAATAACCTTCAGGGTAGACATGAAGGGGACAAAAGAAGGGCTCTTGGGATCCTGAAAATGTGTTCTTCCTAGATGCTGGTTTGTGGGTGTGTTCCATTTGCGAGGAGTCAGTGAGCTGTAAATCTAAGATATACGTACATTTCTATTTACTATGCCTCCAGAAATCTTTCAGAATCTTTCCTGGTCGAATTCTTTACGTCAATTTCAAAGTGTAGTCTAAGAACTCGGGAAAGCATCATGACAAGAGTCCTAAAGTTTACAGTTAACAGAACAAAAAAGTACATCCAACAAATCGACATCACCAAGAAACATCTAATGAGTCTTACTTGATTATCAGAAATTTGCTTGATCAGCGGATCCTTTCGGGCTTGCTGAAGAATATAGAAGCGAGCCTCGTATTTTCTCATAAGCTCTTCGGTCTCCTCCCTGTGGTCATCCCACTGCAGGCTGTCGATCACCATGTCCTCCAGCTGCCGCTGACGCAGCTCGACGCCATGCTGAGTGCCGTCCCACTGGGTCTTGACCTTTTCCACTGGGGGAAGCGTTGTAAAAAAGAATTCCAGAAAGTGACGCTCAGGAAAGGGGGGAAACACCTGATACCCAATTTATTACAAATAAGACTATCCATAGAAAAGAGAAAGCGGCAAGTTGATACACACATTTTAAAGAAATGTCAGTATGTCCATCTCTATACAGTTGATATATTTCTGAAACCATTCTTGAGGAAAAACTCTTAGATTAAACTCTATTCGAAATGCACTAAAATACCTCACAATAAAAAATATCTACTGTTATAAACTGGTAAAGCAAAAAATATATAAGAAAAATAATTTCCTCTTATTTTATATTTATAGGACCTAGTTTGAGGAAGGTAGGCTTTAATAGCACTTTATGATAGGACTTGAAGACACAGACTGAGTTACTTGACATCCTCAAAGGAGATGCTCCGAAGTAGTCTTGATTGTAAAAGAAAACTCCTTAAGAATACTTTCACATTTGTTTTACTGTAGCATTACACCTCTCTAAAAGGAAGTATTTTCCCATGTTCAAGTTCAAGAGAAACACTAAAAGTAAAGTAAATTCAAGTTCTGTGTATCCAGCAGCTCTTAATCATAAAAAAAGTCCATACTGGCTCTTTTCTGCTCTCTTTTTTATTGTTTCTTCCTATTTCTCTTTCTTTCAATCTCTGTCTCTCTCCTCTCCTCCCCTCCCCTCCCCTTCTTTCCTTTTCTCATTTTTAACATGAAGTTAAGAAAAGAGAGATCTAAGGGAATAATTTCTGATTAATTACTTCAAGGGCAGTGTATGATCTTGAACTATAAAGTACCAGCAAGAAACTACTTTGACTATCTTCAACAACAATTGATAATAAATAGGTACGTAGAAAGTTAAAAACAAATTTATAGAAGATATTTTGAATGCCAGACAGACTGAAGGGCTGTAGTTAGGAACCAGGCCAAGAAGAGCGTAACTACAAGATAACATTTCTTTTGGTAAAATCCTTGGGATAAACCGCTAAAGCTATCAACTTAACATTGCTCAGAAAGCTACAAATTATGCTTGCATGCAATAATTCTAAAAAAGTGTTTCAATGAGATGACTTATTTTATACTGTCTGAATCAAAGTTTAAATAAATTGCTTAAGATTTTAACTCGAGAGGACGAATCTATCATAATGTTCTACTTGTCAGTTAAAAAGTTACACAGAGTACTTATGACCAAGTCTGCTACTAACAGAATCCTGAAATATCAAACAAATAAAACTAAAGACATCAAGTGACAGCAAATACCACAGGTTTATCATAAAAATAAGCAAAGTATCCTTTTATTTGTAAGAGCTAAAAGCAGGTTACTATTGGAAGTACACGCCAGCTGAGGATGGTTTTTCACATAATATTTAGTGACAAAAACCATGCNACGCCAGCTGAGGATGGTTTTTCACATAATATTTGGTGACAAAAACCATGTAGCCTCTTTACAAGAAAATGGTGAGAAAACAAAGAGGGAGTTAAATTAGAAATGGAAGATATTTGGGAGAAGGAAAGTCTTTTTAAAAACCTTATAAGAAACTTTGGACAAATACAGAGGTGGGGGGGGAGTAAGATGGCAGAAAAAGCAAAGTGGAGATGGGTTTGCAAAGAGCCTGGTGTCACTAAACCAGAGAAGCTCCCCTGCCACGCGGTGGGAAATGGGGTCCCTCCAGAGCCCCACAGCAGGCCAGCGGTCCATCAGTTCACAGTGGGAAGGGGGAAGGAGCAAAGTGGCTAGATGGGTAAAATAAACCAACACCGTGAGACACTAAAAGTTCTTTGCTAACGCACCCCTTTAACAACCTGGCTGCCGCACTCATTTTGAAGTCGAAGCATATTTTTTATAGGAGAAGGAGTTGAACTTCTCCCCTTGAGAAATATTAAACAATGTGATAAAATGCATTCCAGTTTATATTCTGCCACAAATTAAGTCCATCCCTTGTATCGGGCACTGTGGGAGGCCCCGGAAAGGTGAATAGTCAAGGTCCGTGGTGCCGAGAACATTTATGTAACTGTGAGATCCACAGTGAAGTTCTGGGGGAGATCACAGCAGGAACTAAAGGTAGAAAACGCCAGGGACCAGAAGAGGGGGAAAGACTTCACAAAGGGGGTGACATTTTACCAGCTGAGTAGAATTTCACCTGGGGAGAAAAGGCTGAGGGGAAAAATAATGCGAATAAAGGTACGGAGAGTAAGAAACGTCAGGGTGTTTTAAAGAACATACGCAGTACAGCGTAGCTACAGGAGGGGCGGAGGGCTGCAGTGGGCGAGTGATGATAAAAGCAGACTGTGACTGTCCCTAGAAGTCCCTAAAGTGTGTTTCAATTTCAAAATAAATGTGGCAACAATGAGGCTATTGTAACAGATGAGTTAGCAGAGCACTCTTAGTGTGTCACAACGTGGGGTTATTTTTCCTGAATTAGCCATTTCACTTCTTTCTCCCTCCTTTTATTAAGTATTAGGTGGCTTGTGCCTATCCATTCTCAAGAATTTAAATTTTGTTTTATATGGCATACAGATGCTTTTAATACAGAAATTAAACTCAAAACAAAAACCATGGCTGTGGTTGTTTTGTTTTATTTTGTTTTTAGCTAAAGCATTCCCAAATTACTGCCAGGCTCAGCGGTACATAGTCGTTCAATAAATATTTTTGGAATGAATTTTGAGAAGATAAGTTAAAAGACATGCTAAGATCTGGTTTTAATGAATGAATTATAATGGAAGAATGGATTTGCATCCCTATGGCTTTCTCTAATTTGTTTTCTTGGTTCCTTCAAAAGGAATACAAAGTTAAAAGCCAATAATTTAATGAATCAGTAATTACATAAAAATAATTATATTAATACTTTAAAATTCATAAGGGAATTCTGACAATGTTCACAAAAAATAAAAAACAAGGAAAAGCTGTATTCATAAAGAGTATCAAATATTAAATAATATTAATTTCTGGATGAATAATCTTTGAAAATATGTGTATGTGTGTGTGTAATCAATTTCAGTGAAAGTGCATATAAATTTTTTTTAACTTACATTTTTCTGTGATTGCTGTTCTCACATCTGAACTGGAAGCTTTATTTTTCAAATTCTGAGCCAGAGTAAAAACATAATCAAGCTGAGGGTGGCGCTGTTCCAAGTCAGCCTTTGTGATCTGTTTAAGAAGAAATGATTTTTAAGACAGGTTGATAGGCTATATGATCCAAATACTAAGGAAACAAAACTGGTGTGTTGACATCACAGTTGTCTGCCTCCTACAGGGGATAGTGAGGCCTCTGCGATGTGGCAGAGAAAGCGCAGGATCTGGAGTCAGAAGTCCTAGGTTCAAATCTCAGCTCTGCCACTTATCCCTCTAGCTCAGCAGGCACTTCACCTCTCTGTGTTTTTTTCACAAAAAGAAACAATAAAATACTTACAGCTCAGCTGCATGAAGTCTGAGCAGATTAAATGAAAGTCCTTTTAAAAACTTAAAAATGTTCTGCAAACGTTCACAGTGATTTCTGCAGATACCCTGCATATCGGTCCTACATCAGGTACGAACACAAACTAATGTCACCTACAGGGATGGGGGTGAGGTCTGAGGAAAACGCTAATTGGAATAATTGTAAATTAAATAATTTTAGACACGAGAAACTGTTGCTGAGAGCTTGTCTTAGTACCAATGAATGTTGGGGGAAAGTTCATGTCTGGAAAATANGCTAATTGGAATAATTGTAAATTAAATAATTTTAGACACGAGAAACTGTTGCTGAGAGCTTGTCTTAGTACCAGTGAATGTTGGGGGAAAGTTCATGTCTAGAAAATGGTGTGTTTTAAATCTAGAACTAATAAACAGCCATCAAGACTATTTCCAATAGGTACAAATAGTCTGGCAAAGATTCTCTCCCAGTTTTTCCTCTTTATGAATTCACTGATTTTGCAGGCCTCAATTACTCCTCCAGCGTCAGATGTTATTTCTAAATGGACTGTTCACAACTTCCAGTCGTGAGTCCCACATAGACATCGCAACGAATGCTCAACATTTCCTGCTAAATGGCATAAAGCCTCTCAACACCATGTACTCAAACTAAATCTCTCCAACCCTCACCCACGATTCATTTCTTCTGTTCCTGGTTTCTGCTCATTGCCACAGGGGCATCTGAGCCGCCTGGAAGGCTCTTTTCTTTGTATTAAGCAGCTCTTGCACTATTCCCATTCTTCCTACTAACACAGACCAGTGTTAGCATAGTTCTCCAGCCACGATTTAAAAAAGCAAAAAGCAAAAGGCAAAAGGATGCCTGCCCTTGGCTTACAGATGGGAAGGCCAAGGGGCTCTGCGTGCCCTGCACGCTCCTGCAGTGACCGCGAGCCGCCTCGCTATCTGACTTCCCACTACACTTCTTTGCAGCACAAATGTCGCCCATGTCCCTCACACTCCCCCACTTCATGTCTCTATTCACTCTGCCCCCCACACCACGAAGGTCATTACTTGTCTCTAGATGTGAAAATCCCACCCTGCCTGCCTGGCACCACTGTGGGAATAACTCACAAAAGAACTTTACAAACGCATGACATGGTAGCTTGTGCGTGTGTGTAATTTTACATATACATGAAATTATAGATCCTTATTTCTAATGCCAGCAATTAAACAAATAAGCTCATTATGAAGTATAATTTGAAAAGGCACTTCGGGAAATTCTCCTCCATCACACAAGGCATGGACTGTAACACTAGTTTACGTTTATACTGATGGGGCTGGATTTACACTATCCGTTTCTAGATCTTAAAATACACAGAGTCTACAACTGAAGTTGGTAACGGTGATCTTACCAAAACAGCATAAATGCAAGAAAAGCGTGACTCCTCAGAGCCCGCCTGAGATGGCAGTTGGACAGATAAAGTTTTTAAAGCTCCCTCTCCTGGAGTTCAGGATAAACAAAGGGGAGCCAAACAGGCCGCGTCTACCCGTGTGCTGCGGTGTTCCCGCGACAGGCCTTCATGCCGTGCACCTACTTTCATTCTGGAGACCGTCTTATTGATCTCCTCTACATCCCCGACAGTGACGATGTTGGACTTCAGCATCTGGTCGATCAGCACCAGCCAGTCGGCTAGCTCGGTGATGGTTCTATCCAGATCTGCAGGGACTGAAATTTCCGAAGCCCGAGGAGGCTGAGCAGGCAGGTCTGAAGCGGAGGATGCTAGCACCACCTTTAGGACACTGGGATGAGCTGAAATGAAAAATGCAGCCAAGTGTTGCTGTGTCAACAGGAGATTCTGACTGTGGTGTTACAGCGGTGACAGGGGTCTGTGGCTTTATGTGAATTTCAGATTAGGTTAAAAAATGGTAAGAGTTTTTATTTTTTCATACGGAAGAGGCAATCGTATTTCCTGCAGTATCTATGTCTTTGGTAGCAGTAAAGCCAATTAAACACACAGTCTCAATATTCTAGGGCAGCAATAACTCAGAAGTAACTAACACTGATACCAAGAGAAGATAAAATAAAACATGCATCNCAATTAAACACACAGTCTCAATATTCTAGGGCAGCAATAACTCAGAAGTAGCTAACACTGATACCAAGAGAAGATAAAACATGCATTCACTGTGAGAAAATTAGCACTGCTATTTTATTCTGTCAAGATGCTTGCCTTAATCGTAAAGCCAGTTTATCCAGTTTTCTGTTCTTTTTCACTTAACTTTATAACATGAGCATTAGGAGTAATTCTTCAGACACGCCACTGTGAATACCTACGCAATAATCTGCGCATATATTCACTGACTGTGAGTTAGCTCCTTCCCTACAGCTGGACACTTAGATGGCTCCTTACATTTCACCTTAGAAAAGAACTTGCAAGGAATATCCTTTTCTGTAGAGTATTTTGCACATTTCTGATGAAAATTTTGGTATCGATTTGCGAAAGTAGAATGGCTGGTTCAGGAAATATGAACATAGTTCATGTATTTAATACTTATTGGCAAACGGCTTTCCCTTAGAAGTTGGAAACTGAGACTTGTAGCAAGAAGCGTGGCCCCTGAGCATCCCATATGCACACCAACGACATTCCTTCTCAACGGGTGCGCACACAGCCTCACCATTGTGTTCATTTACTGGCTTTTGATTAACAGTGAGAGCAAACATATTTTGTTTGTTAACCAAATACGGTATAATTTATAACTGTGTTCTTTACCTGCTTCCTTATCAATTTGAATGAACTCATTTTTATAGGAAAGATGAACCCTTGCCACATTGCTGAAAACACTGTTTCTATTTTAGGATTTTTAATGCGTGTGTTTTTTCTTTTTAACATATAGATGTCATCCAACTTGGGTAATCAAATCCACAAATCTTTCCTGGGAGATTGTTTTTCCAGAGCTTTTACTTAGAGATTCTTGTCTTCTGGATAAATATTTTTTCTCTCGGCTCTTTGTGTTTGTCTTTTGTTTTTAATGATGGAAGATTGGTTGTTTTTCTTTAGTGTTACATGAGGCCGTTGAATTAATTATCACACCCATCTGGNGGTTGGTTGTTTTTCTTTAGTTTTACATGAGGCCATTGAATTAATTATTATACCCATCTGAAGCCCACATCAGCATGTGGTGTATTAGGTGAGGCTTAAGTAATTTTCTAAGAAATATAGTCAATCTGTAAATTCAGCATAATTCAAATTAAAAACCTCAACAGGTTTGCATATATCTTGACAAAATCATATACTGAAATTCCTGATTCTAAAATTAATATAGAAAAGAGCCAAGAACAGTCAACAGAAAGAGAGCAGGGCACGGTGGTGCAGAGAGCTTGCCAGGCAAGGGGCAGCAGCTATGGTGCCCGTAGCCCACACTCTAATCTGGACATGGAGAGAAGAAAATAGAAAACTCTGTTTCCTCCACACCTAAGTGATCAGCATTGTCAGTAATAGCTTCCCCGGGATGGAGGACTCTTCCAAATGCCCATCTCCCCCCTGGTTCCAGGATATCGAACCCTTTGCTCTCAGCCACGATCTGCACCTAATTACACACCCCCAAGGACATGTTAGCATAATGGTTATAGCTGATTTTCTAAGAAACTGCATGTCCCCAGTTTCCCCACCTTGCCCCGTCCCTTCCATTCCGCAGGCTCTCTGGAGGACCATGTCCCACTCTAGTCCCAGGAAAGGCAAGAGGTCTCATGTCCCGTGAGTGCTTTGCCCACACTGGGCCGTCAAATACGCGTTGGGTTTAAAGAAGACGTTCCTTTCAAATCATTGAAAACGGAGTAACAAATCACAACTGCGTTGTGTTTTCAAGTTTAAAGTTTCCTCATAATCATCATATTTTTCTATGTTTATAAAAATGGTTACAGAATAAACTACATCTTACCAGCGACTCTGGACTGAGAAACAGAACAGGGCTCCTGGGCGCACTCCTTCAGTGCGCTGGGCACTTCTCTGCACACCTACGGCACCCGGCCAAACACAAGGAGGAGAGCACCGTGTGAGTGACGATCGTGCTTTCAGAAGGGGCACCTGTGCCGCTCGGCTTTCCCCTCGGTGCCTAGGCTTCTGTTCCCACCTTCACTATCCACCGCAGTCTTGCTTAAACCCCACTCGACCGATGTTACTGTCAAGGACGCCACCCAGTCCTTAGCTACCCGGGCCCTTCACAACATCTAATGCTGCCACTCCCCCTCCCTTGAACTCTGACTAGTCTGTACTCCCAACTGTCTCTCTGGCCTTCTAAGCATCCTTCATCAGCTCATTCTCCTCTGCCCACGCATCAGATGCTAACATTCTGCAGGGTAGGTTGTTTTGCTCTTTTCACCATTGACTCGGGCCTCTCTCCCCGGCTCCTGATTTCTAATGGTTTCATCTGCCACACGGAGTTTAAAGATGCAGAAGGCTCCCAAAAATGTATCTTCAGTCTGACTCTGTCTGGTGACTGGATATTCTGACATATCCAAATCCAAAGTCATCATCTGTCTCCCTGACACCCCCTTCATGAAGCTGTCTAATGACTAATTGATCTTTCCAGATCGGTCATCCTGATCTGGATGGTGGGTTTTGCTCAGAGGAGTTCCTTAACATCCTGATATCCTAGGGACATCCATCCTAGGATCACTCCATCCACTTCTCCAGTTCAACTACAGTGAGCTTTCAAAATGTAACTTTCTCCTGCTTACCCTTTGATAGCTGACCACTGCCCTCAAGGTGATGAACTGTTCTCAAGATGGAGCTTAAATTCCTGGTGATGCACTGTGGGGCCTCTAGGATCTGATGTCTGCAAGCATCACTGGTTCTTCACTTCATACTGAGCTACTTCCAGGACCCAAGTCTACTGTGCTCACTCGCGGTCTCTTCTAGACCCTTTCACTTGCTGCTGCTTCTCCCCACAATGCCCTTTCCGCATTTTTCATCTGGCCAATTCTGACCCATCCTTTACAAATGAGCTTGGGAATGATCTCCTCCACAAAATCTTCCATGGTTAATCCCAAAGCCGGGTGTGTGCCCTACTTTTATATCCCTATGGATCCCTCTGTGTTATAATTGCTTATTTACTTGTCTCACCACAATAAGCTCTTTGGGCTAGAAGGAGTAACATACTCTTTGCCATATTCCTAGTCCTTAAAATAGTGCCCAACCTAAAAATAGAGTCTAGTGAAAACCTGTTCAGTGAGTGAATGACTACATGAAAGAATGAAATGCCCCAGAGTAGTAGTTCCCAAAGTATGGTTGTTGAAATTCTCTGCACCATCAGCACTGCTTGTTCTTGGACAGCCGAAATTCACATAGGTAGCATAAAATCGTTGTGAAGTGCTGGCTGTATCTAACATAGTGCTCCCAAACTGTCCACCACGCCCTACTCTACACAACACCCACTGACATCCTCTGAGCTAAAGAAACATGTGTACTCTGATTGACTGCACAAGCTAAGCCTGGCATGTGACACGGGGCCAACATGTCTGGAAAAGAGTGTAGGGGTGAGAGAGAAGCAGATGAGGCCAGAGAGAGAGCAAGAAACCAGAACATTTGGGGCCTGATAGGTCACAGTAAGGACTTTAGCCTGTACTCTGAGTGAGATGGAAAACCATCTGGGTTTTTTCGCAGAGGAGTTACTTGATCTGAATTATGTTTTAACAAATACGTTGACTGCTTTGTAGAGAAAAGATTGACAGAGGACAAAGAAAGAAACAGAGAGACCAGTGAAAAGGCCTTTGCAGTGATCACAAAAAGGACTGATGATTGCCCTGGCCAGTGGTTTAGTGGTTAAGAGTGTCAGCCTGTACACCAAAGGGTCTCGGGTTCAATTCTTGATTAAGGGCACATACCTGGGTTGCAGGTTCCCTCCCCACCTCTGGTGGGGGCACATGTAGGAGGCAACCGGTCGATGTGTCTCTCTCACATTGATGTTTCTCTCTCTCTTTCTCCCCCTAAGCCCCCCTTTCCTCTCTCTGAAAAGCAATGGAAAAAATATCCTCATGTGAGGATTAACACAAAAAAAATTAAGAAAAGGGATGGTGGTGGCTTGAAACAAGTTCGTGGAAATGGAGGTAATGAGAAGCAGTCACATTTATGAAATTTTTCAAACCTAAGAAAAGTTGAAAGAATTTTACAGGGAACACCCATGTGCCATCCAACATCTATGATTGTTAAAATTTTGCTATGTTTCCTTCATCATGTCTAATTATCTAGCCATCCATCACACCACACACCAAACTAATATGTATTTTGAAGGAGAAGTTGATAATGGTGACTCCAAGGTTTAGTTTTTACAAATTGAAATATAATCCACATGCCAAAAGACTGACTCCAAGGTTTTTGGCCTAAATGATAATAAAGATATAATTGCCAGTAGCTGAGGTGGGAGACGTATATTAATGCACAAGGGGGAGGTGGAGATCAGGGGCTCAATTGTTAATGTGATTCTGAGATGCCTATTAGACATCCAAGTAGAGCTGTTGAGCAGGCAGATGTACATGCAAGTCTAGGGCATGGAGAGAGGTCTCGGCCATAGATACAAGGGTGTGAGTCATCAGTAACAGTGACTCATCAAGACAGTAATTATTACCCAGAGAGGCTAGATCAATAAAGCACCTGCATCGTTAGATGTACCATAATGGCTACATTTTACGGGGACTGAGGGGGAGGAAATGACTGATACGGAGTCTATCCAAACCAGGGGCAGATGCATCCATTCAATGTCCCAAACAAACCTCATACTCTGAGACGGTATGTGCCAAACCAAAATAAGTAAAAATCTATGATTTTATCTGCCTTTACCTATTTCAACTGCGAAATAATAATAATAATAATGGTATGAGAAAAAGGCCTTATCTCCATCATATTTGAAGCCACATGCCATTACATTCCACATGGAACCTAAGAAATTTTGTTGAATGAATAAAATCATTAAGATTTACCTACATACGTGACATGTCAAGTGCAACGTCAGGAAGTTATTTTCATGTCTGCATTTTCAAAATAAAACTATTGGCATTCTATTGTCCCATTCTGATATATATATTCAATATTTAATGTAGTATATAACATAGAAATCCCATAGGTCAAAAAATATAAGTAAAATAAAAAACATTCTTTGGAAATATATGCTTCTGTCCATGACAGATGCAAAAATAACAACTACAAACATTTTATTAGTAAGCATTAATAAAATGTGCCCATATTTGGATATCCTTAAAAGTAAAATATATGATCCTACTTCTTTGACAACAAAATCAATAAATATGAGAAAGATGTGACAGTACTTCTTAATGCACACCTTATTCCATGTCGAATTTACAGTTCTTAAGCTTTCTGAAGTCTTCTCTCTTTCATGTAAACTCAGACTTTTATCTGAAAGCATTTCCAGTTCAGCTCGATTCAGCCATTTGAGCTTCTCAGCTTGTACGTCCATCTCCTGGCTTAAGTCCTAAAGGTGTCAGGACAGAGGTTGTGATTAGAAGGTTGTCATACTCGAGAAAGTTCAAGAACTGTATTAGAAAGTGACTTAGTTTGGGTAAGTATTTTTCAAATGTGGACTTTGAATTTCTTAAGTAGAAAATAAACTTATAAGGAGCCTGAACTTGTGTGAACAAACTGTAACTGACGTGAGGATGACCACCCACCTCAGTGTGACCGGGTGCTCCCACCCCCACCCTGTCTCTTAACAGGGTCATATCCAATCACATCGCCATTGATAATTTAACATTCTGCTCTTAGGTGATGAAAATGGTGTCTGTTCTAATGAAAGGCCGAAACAAACCAAAGAAACCCAGCTGGAGTCTTTTATGCATCTATTCCTACTTTATCTCTGTCTACCCTACTGTGCTGTCCAACCCTTTGCAATGGCCCCCGAACTGTCTACAGAAGGGATATTCCAAGAAAACTACTGAAATTTTTAGTTAAAACAGGAACAAGTTTGTTAGATATTTGTTGTCGCATTTTGAAAATAAAACAATAATTGTTTCCGACATAATATTTTTTTGTCATTACTAATAGTTTCCCAAAATGCCTCAATCTTATTCCTTTAGAGAAAACCTCTTTTCGAATCAGTGGGTAACCTTTTAGGCTACTTGGATACAGTCCCATGTGTTTATCCACATACACACCCAATTTCTTTTTTTTAAATAAAAATATGAACGCATCATGCTTATGTTCTGCAACAAGTCTTTTAACACAAAAAATATAAAATTTATGGATATTTGAGTATACTTATATGTCTATATATCTTTATGAATTTTACATATAGCATAAATAAACAACTATAAACAATCCTTGTAGGTTGTAGATCAACAAAAAATTTTGATTAATACAACCATGACACTGAGTCTAGACTAACCTGTGGTGAGCACTCTCAAGTCACCTAGAGTTTCCTCTAGTTTCTATAAAACTCAATTTTATAGATAGTAATGAGCAATTTACTCCACAGCAGTACTGTCTTCTAAATCTAAAAGCAAAAACTTTACTTCACAGCAGTATTATATTCTACAATGGTGAAGTCTGTTTAAAATATCTTAAGAACCTTAGGTCTAATATCAAGACCACGTGATTTATCATTTTTATGTGAAGGAAGCCTTACCTCTGCAGGGACAAAATACAGCTGCTCTTTAAAAGAAAAGGAAATGATATTCCTCTTTAAAGTGCACCACATATACCACAAAGTACAAAGTTTCTTCCCCTTTTCTTCTTCTAATATTTTATCTTATTTTTAGTGTAAATGTTCATGCATCAAAAAGTGTTAGCAAATATAGACACAACGCACTTACTGTTAATTCTTTCAGGTTTTCTTCCAGCTCAGTGGCTGATCTCTTCTGCACAGCATTCTCGGCCTTTGTTAACCAGCAGATAATCTCATCTAGTCTCTTTCTATATTCCATCACCTGCTTACTTTCTCCTTTTAGCCTAAAAGAATATATTATTGAAAACTATTGAGAAAAATTTTCCAATTAAGCAGAATGTCATATATTTATTTTGTATATCTGCACTAAATAAACCATTAAGGAAATGACTCTTGATAATTATTTTAATATGCATCTCAAATGTGTCAATAATAATATACATTCTGCAATACCAGAGATTCTTTGATAATGTAAGAATTCTTCCTTCATTAAAGTGAAAAACATTGAAACTAAAGACTATTATCTTCTCTCATCATGAAAATTACATAGACATTTAATAGAAAGAATTTTTTAAGCGAGATACCACTGTACAACATAATAAACTTTTAAAAAAACATGAAAAGGGTCTTGATCTAAGATTATAATACAAAGCACATAATTACTCCATGGAGAAATCAAGGTATCATTATATGACATATTATTCACATTAGGTGGCAACTACTACTCTACTTCATTTACAGGAAAGAAAGACTAAGATCAGGGCAAGATACTGAGAATGGAAATTTTTTACAAGTATTAGAAAATGCAAGAAAAATGGACATTTAGTTGGTTCATTAAAATAAAGCACATTTGAATATAGACAAGTTATAAAAAGAGATCTAGAAAATAAAGCAAACGTTTTAAAGGACATAAGGAAACAAAGAGTCATTAGAGTATAAAAAAGGAACTGCCTTAATTAGATCTTTTAAATGTTAAAAGAATAACATTTATAAGTATATAAACCATGTGTCAGAAGATGTGAATATGACTAGAACCTATATGATAAACAGATTATGTATTTTTTAGAAAGGGTTTGAAAGCTATTTAGAGCTTGGCGGTGGTACCACTATTTTTATAGCTGCTGCTACTAGCTGATGATTTAAAAATAGAATCCAATTTTTTAATAAATTACATTGTGTCATCTCCTAATAAGAATTTACATTTTTATGGCTATGACTTTGTTTTTTTAGTCACAAAAAGACTTAACATATTGATATACATATATAATAAAATGCTAAATAAATACTTATATATTTAGTAGAGAACCAGTAATATTTGGAGGAGAGTATTTTAATATTTAAAAAAAAAAATAATGAAAATCACAAGTTTTCATTTTTAAGTACCCATCAGGAGAGAACACTGCTTCAAAATTAAAAACAAAAAAATCAACTAACAGTACAGATTGTTAAGACTAACCATACCAAAACAGGTAATTTACCGTCTGTATCACAGAGTATTTAACTAAAATAGCAACTTTAGAAACACCTAAAATGGTATTCTAGACTTGTATTTCAAAAAAAAAAAGAAGCTGGAATTTAAATTTTTCATGTTTCATAATCATGACTAATCTGGTATTTTGAAAATCTATCTATGAAGGCAAAAAACATTATCAAGCAATTTCAATAACACATATTCAAGTCACGCAAAATTTTCATCTGCAAACTAGCTAAATATAATCTACATTTTAAATGTTATCCCTAAGAGTAAAAACAAGCTTTAAATTCATGTTCAAACAGTAGATAACAATTGCTCATTAAGAAATAACACCACGAGTTGTTGAACTGTGCAAACAGATTGAACTGTGCGCTATTTCTCTGTGACTATGATAACAGTACACATATAAGCTCTCAAAGTGCCAACGTGGCCCCAATTTAAGATAAATGACTCCGTGAAGTGAAGTCAAACATGAATTTATGAAAACAAGCATTGCTTTAGTTAAAATATCAGATGCTGGAGAAGGGGTGCATTATTCTTTTCTCTCCCAAAAAATGACTAAAATATGTAGTGGCTTCCCCTTATTAGTTCTGGGAGCAATAATTAGCACACTCCACAGAGGTCCATTGAAAGTCTTTAGGGGAGTTTCTGCATTATTGCTAACACCATGTCAGCAGGTACATCTTTATTCTTAAGAACACCTGGGAGATATGCCATTTTCTAGTCAGAAAGATTCTCCATGCAAACTCATCAGCATGGCTTAGAAGATTCCATATGACCTCCATTTTCAATCCTGGCCCTGGTCCCTGAACCTTCCTCCCTAACCTTGGCAGATCTCTCACCTGGCCATACTGTTTCATGCCCCCCACCTTTTCTGTTCCACTTCTTTTCCCTAGAAGGCCCTCCCTCGGAGGAATTTATGGGAAATTGCTATAAATACTTCAAAACTCAGTTTCAGATCCCTCCCCTGCGATGCCTAAATTCCACAGCCCATCACCCTGCCCCTGAGACAACACTGCATCTTCTTAACAATGTTCTTTAATCAAAACAGCATTTTTCCCATAAAATATTTTCTTCTTAGTTTCTGAGTTTCTTTGTCATATTTGTATCCCCAGTGCTAAACACAAGGCTCAAGAAATATAGATCAAATCAATCCATCAGTCGTTGGCAAAATTCAGCAATAACATGCGTGAAGAATCAGTTCTACATTAACTTGCTATTATAAGAACTAGATATTTTGAGTTTTACTATGAGTAGTCAGGGCATATGCTTTTTACAAACACTATCTTCTTTTATCCTCATGACACTCCTTTGAAAGATACCACAGTTCTCATTTACAGAGGGAAAACTTAGCCAGATGGGGTCTTTTCAAGTTTGTACAGCACAGTAGTTGAGACAGCAAGTTAGCACCAACGCTAACAGTACTAACAGTTAGTACCATCACTAACAGTACTTGTGAGACCCTGGACAAGTTACTTAACCTCACCTCTCTGAGCCTCAGTTTCCAAAGCTGTGCAATGGGCCTAACAGTCCCCTAGAGGGTAGCTGTGAGCATTAAATGGGGCAATGTGTGCAAGGCGCCTAACGCTCTCTCTGCCACGTGGCAAGCTCTCAACCAAATCACACAAGCTACAACTGCCTCTTATCAAAACACAAAATAACAGATAACTTTATTTTATAACAAGCAGCCAATGCCAATAATCATACTTGAACATTTTATGGTACACTATAATACAGGCACACCTCATTTCATTGTGCCTCACTTTACTGTGTTTCACAGAAATTGCATTTTCTTACAAATCGAAGATAAGACCCTCAGCCAGCCAAAAGATTATGACTCACTGAAGGCTGAGATGATGGTTAGTATTTATTAGCAATAAAATATTTTTAATTAAGGTTTGTAATTGGTTTTTTAGACAAAATGCTATTGCACACTTAATAGACTATACAGTACAGTGTAAACACAACTTGTATATGCACTGGAAAACAACAAAACCAAAAATGTGTGGCTCGCTTTATTGTGATAATTGCTTTATCGTGGTGGTATGGACCCTAACCTGCAATATCTCCAAAGTATTAGATTGTCCTTTAACAAAACATTAGCATATTTCTAAAATAATACATCATCTACAGAGTTAAAATTAGCAGAAAAAAATATCTGGGGATTTTTAACTCATAATTACCATTAACTCTAAAACGGGTAATTTATGATATGGAATATATTAAGCAAAGTAGAAATCATCCATTAATTATGGATCATCTCAAAAAAAAACTTCAAATAATTTTAAATATGTAAAATATGTATAATGTTGAACATTATTTTCACTGGTAAACATATTTACAACCAGAAGACACCAATAAAATCTGGGGCACTGTAACATAATTTGACATAAGAACAAACAACAATTCATCATATGTATTCTATTACCTGGAAGAGGAGCTGTATTACTTACCGAGCACCGACATAGTATATGAGCCCAGCACACCCTCTGACTAAGAATGGCCGAGGGAGAGGATTAGTAATGAAGACCCCAGGGCCCAGTCAGGAAATGAGCAAGTGAGGTACCTGACCCTGAACCCAGATCTTCACACTGGAAGTCCAGAGTGTTCTTTCAACTAATTTGAGTTCCTGCCACATGGGCACCATAATCATAATAAACAGTCAAGAATAAAAGCAGTGAGGCATTTTTTATGTGTGTGATATCTGCGTAGAAAAACGAGACTTTATGGACAGCATGAAAATACAGTAAAGGAAAGTGTTCTAAAATGCAGAACATGGACAGTGGAGGTCTTAAATGTCAGTAAAGCTCGCATCATAATATCAGACAATAAAAGAACTTTGAAGTCATCTGACTGTATCTTAAAAAGCCTCAGCCCAAAATATCTCTACCCTTGTGCCCTTAAATGATTGAGGCTAAATCACCTTGGCCGCCGATCCTTCACTTCTGCAAGGATCGCACTCCAGCGCTGGTTTAGGCCTGCCAGCTTGGTTTTGAAGAAGCTTCCATCTGTGGGGGAGAGTTTCTGGACAATCCCGTCCCCAGTTCTGTTTAATGCTGCAAAACTGGGCTGGTGGCTGCTGATCCCCTCTTCGAGTTCCTGCAAATAGTGGAAGCCAAGATTAATTCTACCACTAAACTAAGATGCTCTGACGCAGCGGGTCTCCCAGGTACCCGGCGCCAATTTCAGTGTCAGGAACAAAGCCTGGGAGGGTACATTATGTTCATGAAAAAGGCTCTTAAAAACGCTTTCATTACATTTCAGTAAACATGCTAAACAAAATCCATTTGGAAATCCCACCCACGCTTGTAAATGTCATAGAGTGAAACAGGACAGAAAAATAACATAAAATAAATAACAGCTGTTTACAACTGAGGCGTAAGCATCAATGAGGTCTGATTAAAGTGGATTGCTTGTCTTCCTCCAAATACGTGCTTGAACGCCTCTCTTAAAAAGAAAACCAAACCCATGTACCCTTATGTCCTATCATGTATAAGTAAAGCTCAATACGCATTTTCTTGAGACACTGCTTCACTGATCTCTAAGTTTTTAAGCAATGAATTTAAAGAGGATATCTTAAAGTAAAATTTAAGCACTCATCTATATCTCTAAAAATAAAAATTCATTAACATGTATGTGAGGCAGATGAATGCATTTGTTGACTCCTCATTAACCTTCTACATAAAATATATTTTAAAAATTTAATAAAAGAAAATATTTTCAACAATGGTAAAATTGAAAGTTTGCTCATTTTGACCATCATTTTTAAAGACCTGTTGTTATCAGCAGAACTGATTTTGCTGCTGTGTCATATTTTCCAATACTGAATTAGACTCACATGAGCAGCTGCCCTGATATAGCCCATGAATGATTTACTTTTATGATAATTGTCAATAATACAAAGTGGAAATGAGATGCCTAAGTGTTTTAAGTACAGAAAACAGAGGTGAGGTATGCTGATATCTTTCCGCCATAGTCGTGAGTACAAAATTTTACAAATGTTATTCTAAATATTAAAATTTTTAAATAAAATTGTTTTTCATATTAGTCACTAAGAAGATTTTTAATTTAAGTTTTGTTAAATTCCTAATTAAAAAGTGTAAATAACAAATTTTCTTAAGCCCTTATGACTGGAAACTAGAACTGGAACGAAAATTACAGATTGTCTGTATGCGCCTAAAAAATTAATATATTTAGCCCCTACTTTCGAAATATATCTTAAATGTCCCACACTAAACAAGTATGCCGCCTTTTTAGCAGATCCCCAGCATCTGACAGTGAGCATTCACCTGCTGGTGTATCCTGGCTTTCTCTAAGTCCAGGCCACCATCTGGAGCCAAGGAATCCGCCAGTAACTCTTCAGCTTCCGTTATCCACTGGGTGAGGTCATTAAGGTCACAATGGAATTGTCTCCACTCTTCCACCGTCCTGTCAAAATGACTAGAGGACAACAAATACATAAAATAGGCTTCCAAACTTTCCAGGACTGTCTAAGAAGCAATTTTTCTAAGTAAGTTCAAATCTCATTTAAACTGAAAACTCTAAAATCAGTGGATTCACAGATCACTGCTCCAGGATCACTTTTTGTAATGATTACAGTTAATGATTCCTTTTAGAGAAACATGCGTCATACCAAGAGCAAAACAGCTGCACACACACCATCCTGCCCACCTCTCTCTCACATGCCTGCACACATGCACGCACACAACAGGCAGCTTATCAACTGAAAAGACAGCCTTTTCCTCCAGCTTGGAAAATTAAGATTGATTAGCTGCAGGCAGTTACCTACCCAACTTTAAACGCTTAACATTTCAAATACCATGAAATGTCAAATATGATTAATTACTCTATTCTCCCAGGAAAAAATTATGATGTTTTACTTCCTGAACATTTAGTTCCCAGGTAGAACAAAACCCAAAATGCCAAAACACTTCAAAATTTCCTTTCCCTCCATTATTCTCTGTGTGATGGACTAAATTGTGGCCCCAAAACTCATATGTTGAAGCCCTAACCCCCAAAGTGATTGTATTTGGAGATGGGCCTTTAGGGAGGTAATTTTTAAAATGAGGTCATAAGAGTGGGCCCTAATCTCACAGGTCTGGTGTCCTAATAAGAAGAGGAGGAGACACCAGCGATATCTTTCTCTGTGTCTGAGAGAGTAGAGAGAAACGTCCATGTAAGGACACTGGGAGAAGGTGGCCATCTGCAAGCCAGTAAGAGAGGCCTCAACACAAACTAACCCTGCTGGCACCTTGATCTTGGACTTACAACCTCCAGAACTGAGAGAAAGTAAATGTCTGTTGATTAAGCCACCCAGTCTGTGGTATCTTATTATGGGAGCCCTAGCAAACTAACACCTCTTTGCAATGACTAATCCAGAGTGTCCCATTTATCTGAACACAGCACAGTATGGAAGTGACTGCAAAGCCCAGCTCAGACAATGAGACAAGGATTACTGAGATGCCTATTTAAACCTCACTCCTTTAGAAATGAGATTGGAAGTCAAAGTCTGATGCTTGTCGTATTTGGAACATATAGGTATAAAAGAGCATAAGCTGTATTTCATTCAGATCCTAAAGAATTTCCTTCTGCCTTTTCATTTCAATAAGTGGTGCTGGGAGAGGCTTAGGAGACACCTCTGAGATTTTAATATTAATAAAATTTTTACTTTATATAATAAAAAGATATTACTATTTTTTTTAAAAATAATAAAATGATCCTTGACATCTCTAACTCAAAAATAATGTTTATATTTCCTTCTCCCATGAAAATCATTTTGAAAATTTAGTTAATATTTGTTGAGTGCCCACAAGGAAGCAACATTCTATTGGGCATGACAAAAATAAGAGCATTTCAAACAAAACACTATGAGAAAATACTAAAACAATCTTTATTACTTTTGGTAAAAATGTGCAGTAACTAAATAACAATCACAGATTTCAACTTTTGAGATGCTGCAATAATGAGAAAATGTTGCTAGAAAGGCTGCTCCAAAGATTTAAAGACTCTGAGAATATAAACAGCAAGCCTAGTAAAGATCATCATCGTAACAGAACATAAATTTCAAATAAATCTCAGCAGTATAACCATAGATTAAATAAGGGGGGGCGGGCGCGAGGGACTGGGGGGGGAATGTTCAGCTACAATTCACTAAGCCATCACCTCCTCTCTGAATACGGTCAGTTCATATGGGAGGCAGCAAGGAATTGTGAAGGACTATGAACTGCCTGAGAGTCAAAGGATTCAAAGTCAAGCCTTAATCTAGAAACATAAAAGTTTGCTGTCTTTAATATCATAACCGGCATGGATATCTCCCCCCCAAAACTCTCACCACCTATGTTCCTGGTCTCTGGCAATGGTACCATCGCCTACCTGGATCCTCAAGCCAAAGATTTGGGGTAATTTTTACTCCTCCCTCTTCCTTCCTCTAACATCCCACCGATCACCACATTTTATTGATTCAACTACTTAATTCTCAGATGTTTCCCTAGTCCCCATTTCCAGGGCCACTTTCCTAACCAAGCTACCATCATGCGTCAGGCACAGATGGATCACAGAGCTCTTAGCTTTGTCCTCTGCAAATCCCTCCTGCAAATACAATCAGCAACCTGTCATTCCCTTGTTAAGACAGGGCAACAGCTCCCTACTGTTCTCAGAGTAAGCGACAGGCTGCTCAGCATGATACGAAGGTCCTTCTGATATGGTCCCCGTGGGCCTTTCTGGTTTTCTCTCTGCTATGAGTTTCCACCACGCACCTCTGGGCCCGGGGAAAGAGAGGCCACACCTACTGATCGCCTCTTCCTTTCAGTCCTTTGTAGCCGCTTCCACGGGGCTGCGTGGGCCTGACATCAGCCGCAACTCAACAATATGCCTGAAGCGAACGACGCGTGTGTGGATGCACAGGTAGGGACATACAGGTAGGCGGGTGGGTGAAGTGTTTTCATGATAAAATTGAATTTCCAAAACTTTTTAAATGAGGGAGAAATTAAGAAAGAAAATGACTCCTGGAAGAGAACTGAATTCTGAGTAAGAATCGGAAACCAAGACAGTAAAGAAAGCAAAGAAAATTGTCATCAAGTTTAGACGAAATGAGTGAAGAAAACTTTTTATAACAATATGCGCAAGATATTAGAAATTAAGCCATCTGTTAGAAAGCTTGTAAGTTTAAGATGAGAAGACTGAACTTGGTTCACACAGCAGTGAGAGTCACCAAAGAGGACACAGTATAAAATCTGAGCCATTCTTAGAAGATACATAAGGATCCAACATGAGAAGGAAGAAATAAGTGGCTTAAAGCAAGGGAAGAAATCTGACTGGGAAAGGGGAGCTCCATTATCTAAGATGGTTCTAAAATTGCTGATTTGGAAAAATATTAAAGCGAATGCTATGAACATTAGCAAAGCAGGCATACCGGAGTCCTCAAAGAAAGATGATCTGTTTTCATGGTATTTATCTTGCCTTTCCGACAGGCCCACAAAGATTGAAAAGTTTTACAGGCAAAAAAGCGCGAAGATCTGGTATAGACAAATGGGCTCGGCGGTGACCCCTGCTGGCTCTGACTGTTTCCGCACAGGGTATCTGCCTTTGCCTCACTGCTTTATGAAAAGGACAGGACAGAAAGAAACTTCTGGCTTGTTCAATGCAGATAAACAGAGATGATGAAAAATAAACATTTTGAAACTGGTCACCGAGATTGGGAGAGAAAAACAAAGGAACATTTAGGAATAAGAAAATAACCAATTAATGCATCCCAGTACAGGGACAAATAAAATAAGAGAGACAACCTTCCAGCAAAGGAATGCAGAAAACAAAGAAAACACAATAATAAAATAAAAGACATGATAACGTAAGAGAGTCCTGTACTTAAAATTTTGAAAACTCCCATGGAATAAACTATTTCCTAACAGGTAACATTTTTATAATCAAGAAAATAGCATGAATGTCTGCAATCAACATTACAAATCGACAATGTCCTTGAAGTTCTATCCCATCGCCAGAGGCATATATGCAAATAGGGTAACTGAAGAAAAAGTTACCATATGCAAATGATGTGTGAGATTACTGACAAAGGCTAAATAAACCCATTTTATATGCAAACACACTTGCACACACACACAGGTACACAGACACACACAGTGCAGAAGAAAGCTACCAAATACCAACTCTACAATAACAAACAACAATAAAAGCACAAAACTACCAGGGGTGAAAAGTATACACAAACCATCAAAGCTCTTCTGAGGACACAGAAAAGGACCCAAGTAATGAGAGAAAGACTACATTTCAAATTGATCATTTTTTAACCAATTATTGAAATTACTAAAACTTTACTGGAAGAAGAAATATAGAAAAGGAATATGAATTTTAAAGACAGAATAATTACAGGAAATGTACTGTACTGAATGAAAAAAAATTATAAGAAAAATGTTATGGTAATAGACTAAAGCTGATTGTGTCATAAAACAGAATTAGCAAAACTAAATAAATATGAGATAGAAATTCATTTAAAATGATGAGAAAGGAAATATCACCAATAATAAGAGCTAAATTATTCAGGAAAAGTATTGAGAAAACCGATTGTTCACTTAAGAAAAATATAACAAAATAGAACAGATTAGTGTTTTTTATCTCAGGATATACAAAAAAATGAGCCGAGGAGTATTTGAAAAGTAGAGATGCATGATCCCGATGCTTGATACTAAAGAGAGTGTATAGGACTAACAACCTGGAGCCTTAACACAAAATACATTTAAAAATAAAATTCAGGTGGCTTAGTTATTAAATGTAAATTTTAAATCAGACAAAATTGTTTTTAAAGTACACATAAATATTTAACTAATATCACAAGAAAAGTAATTTGTATGCATAAAAGCAAACCAAAATTACAAAAGGAAATCGACTAGCAAGGTATAATTATATAAAATTAAACCTATATGTCAAAAGAACACCATTAACAAAATTAGACGGCGTATGAAAAGCTGTGACTAGGCAATAAACAAGAAATATGAATAGGTAATATCCTTAAAATAGAAAAAAGCTTTTGCAAGTTAATCAGAAAGTGGTAATTCCATAATAGAAAACTGAACAAAGGACATGACCTAACAGTTGACAGAAGAAATAGCACTGAGGCCAATAAACACATGTAAGAATATTGAAATGTCACCGATAATGAAAGAAATGAAAATAGCGTTGAGATGCAATCTTCGCTAGACAACTGGCAAAGGTCTTAAAAGAAAAATCCAACCTTTCACTGTTAACAAGTGCTCAGTTAACTTTCACATATACTGTTGGCAGGGGTATAATAACCAATTTCATAATGCAACGCAGAGCCTTAAGATGTTGCTTTTTTAACAATTTCGTCTTTATCTAATAAGAAAGTCTAATTAAATAGAAGTATGCATAAAGATGTACTTAAAACAACATTCTCTAAATGTACAGAGACGGATTTAAAAACCCATGCAAAGGACTATACCAAAAGGCCATTAAAAGTTACCTTTTCAAGAACTGTATAATCACAAAAACTATGTATGCTAAAACAAAACAAAACAAAAAAGATGAAAGCATGATGCCTAATTTTTGTGTGCGTGTCTCTGAAGTTTTCCAATGCATTTTTCTGTGCTAACTCTCCTCTTACATGGTACTTTATCTTGGGCTATTTCATATCTTATTTGCCTTTCCACTACATGCCCGGCTACTGCCCAAAATCCTCTCGTTTCATTTCTACCTATTAATAGGCCCGGTCAAAATCTAGACAGAAGAATGCTCAAACTCATTCTCTTAAACAGAAGGTAATTTTAAAAAGGGGTTTGTGGTTATATATGGATTCCAGTTCTCTGTGCCTGTCTCTCACTCACATTAATCATCAATATGTGGAGAAAGTGAACATTAATGAAAACCCGTAAGTTATTTTAAAGAAAATGGACACTATTTAGATTTTAAAAATTAAGGTGCTTCCTTTAATTATTAAGATATTATGCTGCAAATGATCGTCTATATGTAATCTCTATCGTCTTTCTTTAGGAAACTGCACTCATCACAATACAGTAAACAAGCCTCTTCCAAGGATATGAAACATAGCCTCATTAATCTTAGTGTACATATGACTTTTGTCGTGGCTCATGAGCTTATGGGGTCTTTTCAATTAAATATTAGCTTAATTTACACGTACCCTTTACGATCATTGTACATCCTATTAATTCTGTCCCATTTTGCATTCAGTTGAGTAAGTGTATCCCGGATCTGAATGGCTTCAGGTCCAGAAGCTTCAAGGATAACATCTGGTTGTTTTTCATGAATGACTGCGATCTGCTCTCCCAGTCTGTCCAACTGGTCTTTGGTATTCTACAAACATTCACAAAATCCAGAAAAGAGATAAAAAGAATGAAATCACAGATGAAAATTTATATTGTATAACACTTATTTAATAGGAAATGAAATATAATAATTTTTGCTATTCAAAACTGGAAACTTTAAAAAAAAATAACACCCTGTATTGGCCAAAGTGTGAGGAACACAACATGGTATGCCAATGGTGGGGGGAAAATCCTCACAGACATTCCAAGTGGCATTTGTACAGGGCATATACAAAGCTTCAATAACATTCTATAAAGGTAATAAAATGTTTGAAGCTAAAATTATTTATATTTTCATATATCTAATAATGCTAATTTAAATGACAGAAATGAGCTGTCAAGGCTATCAAATCTATCAGCAATGCTATTGTGACATTACACATAAGTACAATCAGATTATATGAAAAGGCCTTGATGATATTTAATACTTTTGTGAATTAACTAAAAACTTCCAGATCCCTGATTAACTTACAATGAGGATGCCATCCCATACCCTAACCATTGGCCAATGTTAAATTGTTATAGATGGCAAGATGAAGGCTGACCTTTCACATCCAACTGGCAGTCAGGTTAATAAGAAATAAATATGGTTTGTGCAGGTTTTTGATTTTAAAATGTCTCTGATGATGGAAAGAATTACCTTCCCACTAAAAATCCATACCTACTTGTAAAAATTTAATTTTTTATATTATTTCCTTGGTGAATACAGGAGAGGTTTATTATTCATACACATTATTAATTCCCTGGCACAAATTTTAATAGCTATAGATCAGCTAAGTAGGCACAGTGACAAATTCCTTGTATTATTCCTACATTAACTGCAGCTATTCAAATGTCCCGCCTGGAGATTTACCTTCAGAGCATCTTCCTGAAAAGAGAAGTCTTCATACACAGCAGTGCTGAGCTCCGGAATATTAAGTGATAATTCAGCATCATCCATGGAAAGTAAAACCTTATTAATTTCAACCAAATACTCTGCAGGGAGCGGTGATGATTTAATTCCCGAAGTTAGTTGGCCTGTTCTCCTCTGTTGAATAGGGATTGCCTGTAAAAAAAATCATTAAAAATAATAATAATGCACATCTCTTAAAATATCCCCACAATAAGAACAGCAAATTGAAAAAAACACAAGGCTATTTTGTGGAGAAGTGCAATACCCTGAACCAAATTTTTAAAAACAAAGTCTTCATTTTTTATATTTCTGCCCTGCTTTGCTAGGCCCTTAACAGTCTCTATTCTAGTTTTTGCCTGCAGCTTGCTCTTAAACAGAAAGGTTTCACTTTAAGACCTATGCCACCTGAACTCACTTAGCAAACTTTATTTCTTAAAGTTCTATAGGGAATAACACATTTTAATATCATAATTATTTCACCCATTTTTTAAATCTCACAATTATATTAAACACTTCTAGGCCTCGCTGTTAAAAATGTAAATAAGCTAAACATGTATTTATAACATAAGAAATTCAATAGGGATTTTGATTAAAATAAGCTGCAGTTAATTCAGTATATAATCTTAACCTTGGAGAACAGTATTATAGAACATGAATATCCTGCGTAAGACAACAGGTCCAAACACTCTAAATTCAGACAAATTAAGCTAAGCTGAGTGGATTACTTCTCTGTCCTAATAATTGCATTTTCTGTGTCCTCTAATCAGAGCTTTCAAAATAATAAAGCAGTCTCTGGGATGGGCCACTCATTAGTCCCTAAGGAGTTGAAGTCTTTTCCTTCTAGATGGCTACAACTTAATAAATGCTGTCTGCTACTTGCAAATAGCCAAAGTTCATCTACTCACAAATTAAGGTAGCTTCTTTCATAGTTTCACTATATCTCTATGTTAAGCTTCTAAAAAATGATATTCCTCTGTAAATTCAGAGGTGATAGTAAAATAATCATAAATATATGTTTATTGAGTTAGTGACCCTGAACACAGGTAGGATTCCTAAATGAAACCAAAACTCAAAGCTGAAATCATTGAGTCAATAACATGGTGTTTAATCTAGAGGTCTGCATTCATCTGTAACAAGAGCAGACCTCTGGGGACACCAGCACATTTACAATGCGGCTGGGGATACAGCCATTGAACAGGGAGCTGGCAGTGAATCTTTTCCAGAATATAAACCATAATTTACCAATTTCACAAATTTGGTTATTTGTAAGCCAGAAATTTTTTTGATGTGGTCAAGCCTCTCCATAAAATACAGATCCGAAGGAGGAAGCCACTCCAAAAGAAAAGATCCCTGTTAAGGTTTAGTACATTATCAGAAATCCAAGAGAGATGCCCAATAATAAGGTCTTATATTGCTATTTTCTCTTACTCTTGCCCCACCTAAAAATATAAACATATCTAGCAATACACACTAGGAAGGAGGAAACAGTATTCCAACTGGTGTGTTCTGAAGTGTCCATGGATAAAAACCAAACATCTGAATGATGTGGACAGACACTCCCCACGACAATACCTTAGTTTTGTTGTATCTTGTGTGCAAAAGCAGTAACTGCAGGCGGATCTTTTCCTTTTTACTATCCTCCGTAGGATGATGTAACATTTGTTCTCCTCTTTGTAGAACTTCCTCAATCTGGGCCCTTTCCTCATCCACCTGAATGTTTAGAAGGAAAAAATTTACTCAAAAGGAGAACAGGGTCACTTACCATCAGTTCCTAAGTGGGAGAACGAACCTACGAAGTATAAGTCAAGATATGTTCATCTAAATTATAGATAACAAAAAATTCATGTTTTCCCTAAAATATTTCACATTGGATGTTAAAACATAAAGAATGCTAGTTTAGCAGAACTTCGATAGCATCAAGATAACACTACTACTACNTTCCCTAAAATATTTCACATTGGATGTTAAAACATAAAGAATGCTAGTTTAGCAGAACTTCGATAGCATCAAGATAACACTACTATTTTTAGTCAGAAAGTACTGTCTATTATTTTAAGCATTACATAAATCACTTACATTGGCACTCATCAGAAAATCATATTTGGACTGTTCTATCATGTTTGGCAGATATTTAGGTAAACACCACTGGTGCAAAAATATAATTAACAGAGAGGAAAAATAAGAACATTCTGGTTTTGAGAATTCTGAACCCACCTTTTCATCTTCATTACTGGATTCCAAGTGTTTTTCCACAACTTTTAACATATTTTCTATGTCATTTTCCAGTTTTTCCAAGTCAGAGAAAGGCACATCAGCTTCGAATGCTTCAGTGGTGACCAGATGTTGGTATGATAATGGTTCCTGGCCAATTAGCAACTGTGGAAGGAAAAGTGTTCTTTGAAAAGATATTCTTAAAACAAGGTAGTAGCTTTCCACATGAGGTCTAAATTGTGAAATTACCTGTATCGTTTAGAAGCATCAACACAGAAAAGCAAGTTCAGGAGTGTGTAGTGTGCACAAATGTATAAAGTATGACTATAAAATGAGGTTAATATGTATGCCTAGCTTGGGAATTAGTCTCATTATTTTAATAGCCAACTTTAACAACCCATCGAGACTCCAAAACCTTTGCTCGAATGGGTTATTTTCTTCAATACTCATCTCATATTTTCTCTCTTTCATATGCACACTCACAAATAAACAAAGACAAATGCTCCATTCAAAGAAAAACTTACTTTTACAATTATTTACTTATATACCACATAACCATTTATAATTTAGACATATAATTACATAAAATAGTTTTATATAAAAATAGAATTACTCACGTTGGCACTTTTGATGTGTTGGGACACCTTTTCAAAGTTTCTATTCAGTTCTGCTAATTTTGGTTCCACAAGCTCCCTGCTTGAGCCTCCACGCGCATTCACCAAAACGACAGCTTGATCGCGGACATTCTCAACTTGGAGTCGGGCATCATCCAGCTCAGACAGTAAACGCTGGTTGTAAGAAAACGCAGAAAAATCCCATGGGAAAACGGAAGCCAAGCATGGGTGTGATGCTAACTGAGAATTAAAGGCAGTTTAAGTAAATGCCTGGGATTCCTACTAAAAGATTTTAATACGATCAGCTTGCGTAAGAGCTGTTCACATATTAAGGCTCATGCAGGACTTTGGTTTCTCCCACCAAAATAAAGGCTGATGAATCTACTGCATGGGAAGGACGTGTGAGCAAGTAACCTGGCGCGTTCCCCAGGGGCCTGCAGCAAACCTTCCACCCCAGAAGCACTGCTGACCCCCTTTTGCTACCTTCACAACTTCTTCCTGTTTACTTGCTGGTTTTTTTTCAATCTCATCCAACAGAGCTTCAGCTTGATAAAGCCAGGTACTTATGTGAGCAACATTTCCATCAAATATTTCCAACTGGTTCTGATGGCTCTAGAAGGGAATTAAGAAAACGTTGATACAACCCTACAGAATATTTAAGATGAAAATCTTCAAAGAGATTTAAAAGACCTTCAAAGAGCTAATTATATGCTGAATTTAAAGGGTTTACACCTTACTGCAAGGCTCTTCCCAGCAAATAAACCCTCAGTCCTAAAAATGCACAGCTATGCCTAAGAAGTTCTTCAGTCTGTTGGGTTTAGGCCTCAGTACAATAAAAAGCTGAAGAACAAAAGGTGCAAGTTTCTTTTTCAGCCTCGTTTTCTTTGCCTCCCTTATTCTTCATCTTACGTTGCAAATTATCCCATTTGCCTCTTGATCATATTTGTTTAAAACTCATTTAAGAAATAATAACATAAAAGGATGGTTAAAATATGGGTTGAAAAAGATTCTGCCTGTTCGACAGACTAACATCTTAGAGGACAGGGCCTGGGTCTCCTCTGACTGATTTCAGTAACTGCTCAAACACTCAATAATGTGTGTGTTTTTCCTATCTCTATCCGCTACCTAGTAATTATACAAATTTGGGGAAAGTCCTAGCTATGATATGAAAGAATAAAATAATAATTTCTACTAACAATGATTCATTGTTAGTAGAAGAGGAACAGAAAACAACAATGAAAATTAGGTGGTCACTATATCCACGAAGTAATTAACAGTGTAGTGGTATAGCCAAAGACTAACATAAAACCCTTAACAATTATCACAATCATCATACTAAAATCCAAAATTCATTGTTTTAGCTATAGCTATATAAGAGCACTATATGTTTTACGTCATATAATCATCACAATAACTGTATGAGGTAGAAATAATAATAATGCCCATTTTACATATGAGAAAACTGAGACTTAGAGAGGATTTATGTAACTTGATCAATGTCACCCAACTAGTTAAAAGTTTTATTTAGGTCATCAGATGCTAAAGACTGTGGTCTTAACTAGTACCCTATTATTAGAACATTATAAATAATATATATAGTTTATAATAATAGGAAAATTAAATATAATAATAAATCATTAAAATGTAACAAAAAGGTACATTTACTAAGAAACTAAAGTACATATTCTATGTATATCAGAAATGGTTTATTATGTATTACAGGTATTTCAAAATCTTTGCAGTTATCTTTTCAAAGGAAAAAATAAAATGTAATCTAATGAAATTAATTCACAAGGAACACATGATTGTGACACAGAGAAAATAGAATTTGGAATTCTAATCAAAGCTCTCTATTCATGTTTAAATAATTAAAGGAGAGAAGATTCCATCATTCACTTTTTCCCAAACATACCATTAAGGTGTTGCACCAATCCTCGGTCCAGGTGCGTACTCGGCTCCACCCGGCGTTGAGGACACAGAGCCTCTCTTCTAAAACAGGCTCGCTGCCCTCGATCAAGTTCTGGAGGGCAGCACTGCTCTCTGTGATGGAATTTAAATCAGCTTTTCTCTTTTCCAGGTCCTTCAGAATATTCTAGAAAAAAAAATACCAAGACCCTCTTGATCTTTCAGAACATTATAAAAGTTTATACAACCTTAATTTTAAAAAAATTTCTTCCACAGATTCCCTTAGAAAGTTTACAATCACCAAAGGTTTACAAAATGCATAACTTATTAACATGTGAGAGTTCTTAAGTCGCTAATAAAAATTAAAATATTTAATTATGCATATAAAAGGAAATTATTAAATTCTGGTATGAAAAAGGTAATTTATTTATTTTAAGTATAAATCCATGTGTCACACACAAACATTAATTATTTTCAACATAACTCCAGATGTAAACAATCTATTTCATGTTCTATATCTATAGGCTGGCAAAGCAGAACTTTCCCAGAACTCACAATTCTAAAAAATTCATAATGAACTTATCTCCTTGATTACTTCAGGAGACAACTGGTGTGTACTATAGGTACTTGCAAGGGCTACATCCTATAACAAGATGACTTCACATATAATTTGCTGTGTAAGCACTACAAAGAATATTTCATCTTAAGTAAATCATAAGAACTAGCACGTGTAAGCTTTGGTCTCACAACTGTCATCATACACAAAGGTAATAATCTGGATGGTACGATGACAACTTGACTCTCACCTTCATAAGTCTGAGTAGGCAAGGTGTACAGTCAGAGAGTTCTCTCTCTACAGAGAACACTGGATTCCAAAATTAAACCTACAGTGTTCTTTCAATCATAAAGTGACATGTGAATATCCAACCTCCTGCTGCTGCACCTTTTTAAACCAACATGAAAACAAATCCTCTAAAGAAGCTCAAGTCTATATTTAATCTCACATCATTAAATCACATTTTGGAAGGCATAAAAATTGCAAATTCACCAGTGAGTCAAGGTTTGAACGCTTACTTGGCTATGTCAATTACTGATATTTTTAAAGACACTAAAATGTTTCTCTCAAGTGTCCTTCTCCATCAGGGAGAAACAAAAATAGAACCCACAGCCACGCTTCCTGAAGCTAAGACCTTCTGCATTCCTCCGGTGGGTACGTACCGACTGACCAGCATTGTCCTTAAGAAATATAGGAAAAAATTAACTACAAGTGGTCAAGTTGAAACGGTACCCATGCTATTTATGCTAACAGATTTTATTGTAAAGAAAATGACTACATTGAAAATAATGGCATTTAAGTTATGGAATAAAAACACTAAGTTCAGCAACAAAAATGCTATTTAAATTTTGCACTGAAAATAATGTTACCTATTTTTACATGCAAAATACATACTGATGTTTCATTCTATTTACTCTAGTGAAGAGAATGTGCTGTGAATTCATGACTTATATATACTGTCTTCATTATTTCAAATCTAAAATAAGACTAAATGGGAATTTAAGAGTGAGTAGTTTCAGAAAAGACAAGCCTATTATTTAGTCTTTATCTGAAAAATTAATTGAATCTCTGTGTACAAAGATAAATGAATAAAAATTAAATGTGCAAAATTCAATAATATCTATGTACCAGCTATAAGCAATTAGTGAAAAAGAGAAAAGGCATACTTTATAAAGTATATAAAATAAATAAGTATAAATAAACTTCTTTGCATATGTGTGTGTGTGTGTGTGTATATATATATATATATATAATGTTTATGAAGAAAATAACCAAAGCATTATGTAAGGATTTAAAAATTTTGGTGAGAAATGAGACATACCATGTGACTAAAAAGACAATATGAGAAGATGTCAATTCCCCTCCACACAAATCTATAAATTTAAGGCAATTCGCATAAAGATTTCTAACAGAACTTTTAAGAATTTGAGAATAATAATTCTAAAGTTCATATGAGTGTATACAAAAAAAGCATAAAAACAGGGAGTCCATTAAGTACATGTTCATATATATTATAAAGTCACACAGTCAAACAGCTGAAGAACATTTCAGAGGGTCCAACCAGTGAATCAGAAAACAAAGAAAATCAACAGCCAAAAAGAAGAGATGAAGTTAGCATGTCAAATCAGTGGGGAAGGGATAATTACTCAATAAATAGTGCTGAGATAGCTGGTTAACTACTCAGAAAAAAGGTTAGAGCCTTACCTCATTATATACACCAAAATAAATTCCAGAAGGATTAAAGCATTAAAGATAAAAAGATGAAACTATAAAACAGCTAGAAGAAAATATAGTAAATAATTACAAAACCTTGGAGCAGAGTTGGACTTTCTAAGCACTAATGACATAAATAATGAAAGAAAAGATGATTTTATTGTTTAAAAATATATAATAACAGTATTTTTAAATATATATACAGAACATAAAGGGAACTACAATGGCAAAAAATATTTTTGCAACAATAGACAGCAAAGCATTAATAATTGTAACAGGTAAAGAGCTCTAAATTAAAAGACCTAACAGGTTAAAAAAAAAAGGTCAAAATTACAATAAAAGGGAATTTTTAAAAAATGAACTACAAATGGCCTATATACTGATGGAAAATGTTCTAATTAAATAACCAGTACATGACATTTGCCTACTGTTGTCAAAAGTCTGGTTAAAACAAGCAAGTAGGAATTCTCACTCGGAGCTGGTAGGTACAACATTTCTGAAGTACAATTTCATAATGCATATAAGCCTTTAAACTGGATACATCCCTAGACCCAATATTGTAAGGTCTAAGAATTTACCCTTGGAAAATAATTATGAATACATGCTATGAATTAGCTACCAGTATATTCATCATAGCATTTTTTACAATAGTGAAAATTGGTAATAAATTAAATGGACATGAATGGAGAAATGAAACAATAAAAAATAAAATATGCAATTAAATACTACACCTTTCTCCAATACATGATACAAAAACACCTGTAGGTAAAGGAAAATGTTAAAGATATAAGTTTTTTTTAAAGAGAGTCATGAAACACTAGATATAATACAATTCCTTTAGATACATGTTTGTGCATGTCCATATGTGCCTGTACAAAACTGGAAAGATAACAGGGTGTTCTTTGATTATAGATTATTTTTGTTCCTGTTTTTTTTCTTTTTGTATTACAATATAAAAATGGCATTCAATTAGCTCATATAACATGTGTTACTAATAAGAAAACAAGGTCTTTCAAAGTGTATAAGGAAGATCATATTTCCTTGAAAAAGCTAAATTTAACAAAAAGTCTCGTGCCTGTGCTTTGCATTCATCCACAATACGCTCATAAATGCCAACATCCTTCATTTCCTTCATATATTTTCTTTCACTTCACATAGCCCATAGCATAATTATGCTTTTCCTGAACTATTTTTTAAACTAAAAATACTCTTTCTAGTGCCTAATATCTTGGCTTTCATTCAACTGTTATTCAGATTAAGAAGTTGTATCAACCTACAATCTCAAATCACCTCCTCTTCACTTCCCACAGGCTAACATGAGTACAGGATGCCAAAGCTGATCTTGTGGACTTTACAGAAATTTTTGTCAGTGTTGATAATTTATTTTCAGTACTTATCTCTAGTATGCACGCCTCTTTCTTAGAAAATAAATTAGGGAAAAGAAAATGCCTTGGTAAAAAAATAAAAGTAAAAACTACCCTGTGTTCCATTAAATTATTTGTCCATCTCAAAAGATAATTGGTAAATCCACTCTCTAATCTCTGTAATTTCAAAGTACCTAAAGGGCTAAAGAAAATTCTTGAATCTTTTATTGATTCTTTTGAAAATTCTGTTCCTACGCAATTTATATCAGTTTACAATAGAAAGATTAGTAACTAGTACAACAGTTATTATAGAAGAATTAACAAATATATTCCGCACAATACTTTGCAAAGAATGAATACGTAAAAAAATGCCACCAACTGTGAAGGTGATAACTTTCATATTTTCAAGTGCCACATAAGCAGAACGCTTATAAAGGCCAGTTGGTGATCCATCTGAGTTCAACCCTTTTGGAATCAAGACAAAAATAGCTTCTTAAAATAGTTGTTTTTAAAATATCCTTATTGTTTTCCTTAGGACAGAGTAGTAGGAAAAATAATGGGGAAAAAAGAAAAGGCTATATTTAATATGAAATGGAGAAAATGCACTGAACAAAATGGCCCAGGTCACACTGGCGCGACGTTGGCGGTTCACCTGAACTACAGCTTACCTTAGCCCAGGAAATCTCTGCGTCCAAGTCACCGAGCAAACCTTCGGAGGTGGATTTCTGCACCAGTTCCGCTTCAGTCACCGAGAGCCATTCCGAGAGAGAAGCCGCCTCTTTCCTCATTTTCCGGGCCAGATGTGAAGCTCTTTCCAGATCCTGTTTTCCCTCTGTGACCTGAGAAGGGAGGGAGAGAGAACTGAACATGAATGGGAATGAATCAGAATATTAACCGAGGATCCAAACTGACTCCGATTTAACCACAAGATGTTTTAACACTCTCAGTAGACTCTTCAATTTAAATATACAAAGACCAATAACTTGAGTTTAAACAGGGGCTATTATTTTTAAAGTTTCCTTAAAATAACTTCTGAAATGTCTGTAGTCTTTGAAAATACAAAGTGAATCTGGATTACAAGTTAAAAATAAGTTTCAATACAGCTAGTAATCATTGTAATATTAACACAAACATCTAAAAAATTAATAAAAATTATTGGGATCACTTAAAACATTATTAATACCATAAAACCTTAGCATGCATTCTCCCAGGAGTGAAATTTTAAAATAAAAATACATAAATGGGGGGTGCGGTCCTCACCTGGGCACCCAGGTCATTGTAGAGCACCTTCAGAGATGTCAGCTGCTCATCCATCCCCTTGGGGTTGTCAGTCTGCTGCTTCTGAACAATGTGCCTTCCAGTTTTGATTACAGTCTCCACTTCAAGCTTGACTTCACTTAGAGTTTTATAGAGTTTCTTAAAAAGAAAAAAAGACAAATCATACACATCACAGTGAAAACCTGGTAACTGGAATCATTGCAGAACATGGCTTATCCAGACTGACAGCTATGAATTAACTATGGAGATCAAAGGGCTTTATCTTTCCCAGATTTGCAGTCAAAGGATGAGTAACATGACATCCAGGTTGCAATACCTTTTCAAAATCGGAGAAGAAAATAAATAGAGCTTATACTTGTTTTAAAAAACAACACTCAGATGTATATTTTCAAAATTTATGAACATTTTTCCTACACAAAATGGGAAAATATCAGGACTAAAAATTGAATGCCTATCATTTTTAAAACTACATTTTAAAAAACTCTAAATACTATTCCTAAGGAAAAAGCCAACTCTGCCTATATTTTTGGGTGTTAGAATTTGGGAGTATTAACATTCGTTTTTGTTGGTTTTCTTACAATTCTCTGAAGTATCAAGTCTACCACAATCAGTACATATTACTTATATAATGAAGAGATATATGACAACTCAACTTATCAAGATGAGTATGGCTATAAGAAATCGGAGCTATGTAAGTCAAATTCACAGCTCTCCCCATCCCAGGTACCTGGAAACCAAAAATATCTGTCTGTACCGGTTCTCTTGTCTCCATTCACGGTGATCCTGACCTGAAACGTCCCAGCTGGCTCTGTCACATAGTAACAGACCACTGGACCATGTTACACATGGTCGAGGGTGGTGCTTGCTTTGTTGGCCTCTGTATCTCAGTAAATATTTACATGGACCTGTGTGTGCACATGCACACGCACACACACACACACAGAAATGTATCCTATTTATTCGTTCTTCCACACATTTCAGCTTTTGAGTAGTCGAACAACCTTTGGTATGTAACAGACATGCGGAGATGATAGTTCTGAAAAGCACAAAGAACTCATCCTGAACTGTTCTTGTCTGAACAGGTATCATCTTCAGCTTCTTCATGAGTCTTCTCAAACAGACCACTAATTCTAAGAGTGTGTATGCTTAGCCACATTTTTAAATTTATATGCAACGGAATTTTAAAGTTCAAGACTGCAATAGCAATAAGGCCTTCTAAATAATTTCTTTCACATCTTAGTTTTAAACTTTGATTTAAAATTAATTTTCCTAGAGAATGATCTTTTTCTGCAATAATACTCCTGCTATCTATTCTAAGTATAATTTCTTCTTTCACATTTTACACTTAAACTTTATAAATTAAAATTTAACTATCCTTAAGAATAACTTTTTTACACTGTAATATTCCTAACAACCATTTTAGGTATGGTTCTTCTAGCTAACTCAAGTTTCTCCTTTCAAAGTTAGTTCATCAGTCATATTCTGCCAAAGCCTTTCCTAACTTCATACTGTGCTGTGATGTGTTTCCTTTGTTTTTCAATCATGTTTTATATACATATTTGTGTGTATGTGTGTGTGTGTGTGTGTGTGTGCGTGTGTATTTTCCTCTCTCTTACCTTCTCTCCTATCTCTTGTAATTTCCTTGGAGGAAAAGACCACACTTCTCATTTTATATGCGATTTGTCATCAGTGAACCCTATTCTTAGCACACTGCAGACAAATAATTACTGAACAAGCCATGTGCATTCTGCTAGATGAGGCCATATTAGCTGCTGGAAATCCCACTGGACCCATCAACCACCAGTGGCCTCACCATACACTTGTCCAGGTGGGTCTGGATGACATCAGGGTCCACATCCTTCACGGTCAAAACATGCAGCTCTGCTTTCACTCCGTCCAGCACGCGCTTGCAGTCGAGCATGCGCTGTTCGAAGTTCGCGGGCTTCTGGAAAAGCTGGAACTTAGTGGACACCTCTCGAAGCTTCCTCTGTTTGAAGACATGAAAATAAGGAATTCACATCAGAATGATCATCTCTCTCAGCAGACGGTATTAGTATAACACATGCTGCTAAAAGGCTGTAAAAATAAAGCACCAATAAAAACATCCCGTAAAGAAAGTCAGTGAGGTTACCCAGGGTCATACATTATTTGACACTCAGTGTCTCAGTCTGAGATATAATAAAAAGCTAAGCTGGCCTCGCTGGAATTAAAACTTCATAATTTTCTAACACGTTTGAAAAATATAGTCAGGAACCTATAACTCAAAATGCTCTTCATCATGAGCTCGGAGTGAAAGTCAATCTTGAAGCCACCATTAAGGGACTGAGTGGGCCTGCATCCCACCCACTCAGCCTGCCCATCCTGTCAGCCACACAGAGCTGACAGGGGCTCTGCACTGGGGAGGAAGACCTATCAAGCTAACTTCTAAACCTAGCTCGCTATCTCTTCTCAACTATCGAATCACATTCAATATTTCCCACCCATGCCACAACTAGTTTCTGCTGCTCTGCCTGGGATGCAATGTGCTTTCAATGCATCACTCCAGTCTCACTGTTGACATCAAAAAGAAGACCAAAGGCATCCACGTAAGCACTCCCAACACATCGCTGCCCCTGCTCACCTGCAGGACATCCATCTGACTTCCTCCCTTAGCAGTCCTGCCTTCTGGGGAGGTCGGAGGCTGAGAACGAGTGTTTCTTCTCAACTCCTCTAGCGTCAGCTCATGGGCAGAGATCTCTGCTTGGATTCTCTATAAAGAGATTAGAAGGGGGGGAAATACCTTTTTTATTGAAGTTCCATACAGTCATATAATACATAAGAATATGCAGATCCCTATACAAACTTCAGTAAGTTTGCAGAATAATAATAATAACATAAACTACTATACGTTGTGCACAAACTATGGTCTTTGCATTTGTCATTTCTGATGTTCGCCACTTATTTATAAAAAAGGAATTTTCCCAATTTCACTGCTAAGAAAGCGATCATTTAAAAACAGTGGGTTTCACATAAACACCAAGAGAACTCCAAAACCCACACTCATGCCCCATAATAAGGTCAACCATTCCCACTGACTGCCGGTTTGGGACGGCAGGAGGGGCTGGTTCTCTCGCAGGGGAGGAGGCAGTTACCTAAGCTCTTCTTACTACTCCCACACCTCCGAGCCAGGGCAGTACCTGAGCTTCCTGCGGAACCTGGAAGGCATCTATCCTGTCGGTCAGGTACGTCGTGAGCTGCTTGTCCAGCTCCCCTAAGCTCTCCTGCAAAACCTGCAGCATGTGATCAGTTTCCTGCAGGACCTGGAGCTGCTTTTCCAACGAAATCTGCTTGCTCTCTGCCTACACAGGGGACAAAATTGAACCATTAGTCACTCAGCACTAATATAAATAGCTGAATAGAAGAAAACCCTTATGTTCTGACCACCAAGAAAAAAAAATACAAGCTCTAGTTCAAGACTTTGGCCCTCAGTATAAATAAATGACTAGCAATGATAACAGTGAAAAGGTCCTTCTGGCATCTTATATATCTTGCAGTGAATTTCTCATTTTTACTTCTTTCTACATACAGTAGGAATACATAAAAATGTAAAGATTTCCTACATAACATATTAAACAGAGGATAAAAGTTTGTCATTTATTATAAATTGAGGGCATTTTTAAGAATCAGCAATAAGCCTATCAACAAGAATATAAAATATAACAAGAATGTCTATCAAAAGAGTGAACATATAAATCTTTTTTCCAAAGTCTAAGCAAGTTCCACAGATGCGCACTTTTGAATTAAGCTTCATTCTGTTCATGATCTCAGCAGCAACAGTTATTATTTAATATCATCTAATATCCACCTAACCCTCCTATAAAAGAACAGTCTCCTTGCTCTACTTACTGATACGGACATGCATGTTGTAATTCATCCTGGATATGTATCTAAGACAGTATGGCATTTTATAATGACAGCTTATGTCAAATTCTGCTGGCCTTAATATTTACTAGGACAATATGAGTTATTCTTATATACAGCTAGAATATGACCCTTAAAGGAAATTAAATAACTCATAAATAGAGACCATCTCAAAGACAGACTTTTTAAATCATCAAGTTCTGCCTGCCTGATAAGAGTTTGGTCTACTCTTTCTCAGCTAGTATTTCAAAGCCCTCACCACCCCCGTGAATGTTGGCGACCAACTTCCCCCCTTGGTAGAAGTTCTTGAGGTCAGCTCCATCTCACAAACACCTAATCTACACCCATGCATGTCTCAGTTCTTACCAGGTGACTCAGTTCTTCATATCGACTGTTGAAGGCCTCCAGTTTCTCACTGATTATGTCATCGAGGATCCCACCATCAATCAGAGTCTGGCCAAGTTCCCGAATCTGGGTGCGATTATCCGCTGGATGTCGCAAAACAGATTCTAGGGACTGGACAGGGATG